TAGTTATTGGCAGGTGATGGAGAGAGAGAGAATGTTGCAAAAAGTGTCGCTTACACTGGTCATCTCTCTTGATAAACAAGAGCTGTGGCACACTGCCACACGTCAGGAGCCTTCACACACTTCCCCAAGAACTAACAAGACATTTATGAAGTGATTAATGGAAATAGGTTAGCCGGACTTGAGTCGTGGATGTGGGAAGTGCATACAGTGCCTGCACTCTGAATGGTTGGGATGTTGCACTTCACAAATTTGAAACCTGATTCATCTTTTACGTCGTAGCCTTCTATGCCTCCGTCTCCTTTCCCCTATTTCCACTTCATTTCCTTTTATTTGCATTTTCTATGACGTTCAGTAAGCGTGGACATGAAACCGAAACCAGCGTGTTCAGCTAATTCTGGTAATGGTCGATTGTGAATTCCTGCACGCTGCTGGAAGTGCACATCATGTGCATAACACCACCACTCAGGTGAACTACTAGGCAGGGGATACATTGCTAGTAGGCGGTCGCTGTTAGTGGCCCAAGTGGGGGATAGAGATACATTGCTAGTAGGTACATGTTGTTCCTGCAGCTCTAGTGATGGATACACTGCTAATATCCTTATCCTGCTAAGCTGTGTTGTTATATCTAGATGTCAGGCAGCGCCTAGGGAATGAGCGACTATCAGGTTCACAAGAACAGTGGTAAGCCCACTGGCCCATTCTAGGCGAGTCAAACTCACACTCACCTACACCACTCACGTATCCGTCCAACCTATATTTAAAGCTACCTCAGAGTTCTTGCCTCAATGACGTTACCTGGGAGTTTGTTCCACTCATCTACGACTCTACTACCAGACTAGTACTTCCCTCCAGTCTTTCTAAATCTAAATTTATCGAACTTGAATCCAGTGCTGTGAGTCCTGTCTTGGTTAGATATTTTCAACACGGTATTTATATCTCTTTTATTTATTCCTGTTTTCCCTTTGTACACCTCGGTCAAATCTTCCCAAGGAAGAGGATAGGTCCGTCTCTTGGCTCAATAGCCCCTCACAAGCATCAAGGAACCTAGGCTATGTAGTAAAACAAAGGTATGTACTCAGGCTAGGCTATGTAGACCAGACTATATAAACCTGCTGGGGTATATAACCCAGTTAGACTGAAGAATCTGGCTAAGATATACTCCCAATTAGGTAATAAGATTCAATTTAAGTTATGCTCGTGTTGACTAAGCCTATTCGACTTAAACAATATGGATACATTCGTCCTCTTAAGCTTCTTAAACCAGCCAGATTATACTCATCCTGTTTAGTTATGTGACAAGAAAGAGAGAAGAAAGCCTGGTGACTGGATGTAACTGCAGAGAGAGAACGGTGAGGGGAAAGTGTCCCTTTACCCTACAGTAATATATCAAGCACCCTCTTTGGCTACATTGCACTGGCTGACAACAGTGATAGCAGGGGAGCCCAGATATCACTGTTTCCGCGGCCGGCAATGAAATAACTCGGCTGACTGTATCCCCCTGTCCAGTGGTGGCTTCATGTGCTGTATTCTCTGATGAATGGCTCTTTTGACTTGCTGTATCTTTTGCCTAGTGGCCGTTTACCTGACTGTACTTTATGACAAGTGATTATTAACCTTGTTGTATTACTTAACGGTGTTTTTTCTTACTGTATCCCTTGAACGACTTTTTTTTTTATATTGCTGTAGCCCTTGAATGATTGTTTGTCTACTGTATTGCCTAGTCAGTGATTCTTTTGACTGCTGTATTTCCTGGCTAGTAGGCGTTTATCTGACTATGGTTTTATCTAGATTTAGCTGTAATTATGTTGTTTACCGTTAACCCATCAGTTAACTAGCATTCACGATTAATTCACAATTTGGGGGATTATTATTAATTGTTATATCTTGTTAAGCGCTAAACCCATGTGGGTCATACAGCGCAAGACGTGGTGGAGGCTTGATCCTCCGTCTGCTGAGCGCAAAACAGACGTCGTCCACACTATCAAATCTAGAAACGACCAAAAGGCAGTCTCAAATTTTTCATCCAAATTGTGGGGTAATTGCTAGTTGTTCCAGCCACGGTGTTATGAACTGTTCCAGTCACAATGTTGTGAACTGTTCCAACAATGGTGTTGTGAATTGTTCCACCCATTGTGTTGTAACCTGTTCAACCCACGGTGTTGTCAACCGTTCCAGCCACGGTGTTGTGAACTGTTCCAACAATGGCGTTGTGAACTGTTCCAGTCACGGCGTTGTGAACTGTTCCAGCAATGGTGTTGTGAACTGTTCCAGCAATGGTGTTGTGAACTGTTCCAGTCACGGTGTTGTGAACTGTTCCAGCAATAGGGTTGTGAACTGTTCCAGGCAATGTGTGTAATGTTGATGTGAACTGTTCCAGCAATGGTGTTGTGAACTGTTCCAGTCATGGTGTTGTGAACTGTTCCAGCAATGGTGCTGTGAACTGTTCCAGCCAGTGTTGTGAACTGTTCCAGCAATGGTGTTGTGAACTGTTCCAGTCACGGTGTTGTGAACTGTTCCAGCCACTGTGGGTGCTGTGAACTGTCCCAGCCACTGTGGATGCTGTGAACTGTTCCAGCCACTGTGGGTGTTGTGAACTGTTCCAGAATGCTGTTGTTTTTATTCTTAACTAGAATGTTGACCCGACTTTCACACACTAAGTATATTTATTACCATCAAAAGAAAAAAAAAGAAACTTTTCATATATCCCTGGATAAATGGTTTTGTGTATCCCATGGATAAATATTTCTGTATATCCTGGTTGAGTATGTTGTGTATCCTGGATCAAAAATTTTTTTATCCTGGATAAAAAAAAATGTGTATCCCTTAGAAGAATATTTTTTGTGTATCTGGATAAATATTTTGTGTATTCCTGAATAAATAATTTTGTGTATCTTTGGATAAATGGTTTTGTGCATCCCTGGGTAAATGGTTTTACGTATTCCTGGAAAAATTATTTCATGTATTCCCTGACAAATGATTTGAATATCTTCGACAAATGGTTTTATGCGTCTTTGGACAAATAATTTGAATATCTTCGACAAATGGTTTTATGTATCTTTGGACAAATGGTATTGTATATTCCTAGACAAATGGTATCGTATATCCCTGGACAAATGGTATTGTATATTCCTGGGCAAATAGCACTGTATATCCCTGGACAAATGGTATTGTATATCCTTGGTCAAATGGTACTGTATATTCCTGGGCAAATAGTATGGTATATCTCTGGACAAATGGTATAGTATATCCCTGGACAAATGGTATTGTATATTCCTAGACAAATGGTTTATATTACTGGGCAAATAGTATGGTATATCCCTGGACAAATGGTACTGTACGTGGCTGAACCTCTTTCGAATTTCTTTAATGGAGGGGGATGGGGGAGGGTGCCTTGATACTAGTGAAGGCTCTTGCCGCAAGGAACTGGAGCTACTTTCCCCTTCCTCGGATCAAATCTGACGACCTCCCACTCCTCTCATTCCCCAGACGCTGTGTAACCAGGACGAGCGTTTCCCCGTGAAAATAATCACATTAATTAACCTCTTCCGGAAAAAAAAAGAGTTGTTTAGACGATGTTTATGTCTTCATGAGGGCCAAAGTGTTTATTTTCTAGCCATCCTTCAGAATGAAATGTTTTAAATGGAGAATCAAAATCACCATGGTTAAAGCAATTCAGGAGCTATTTGGAGAGGAAATATCAGACGTTTCGGTCAGTCCTGGAACATTCTCGTGTCACGATTTGATGATAATGGTCCAAAAAGGACCGAAGCGTCTTCAAAAGTTTCTTCGCCAAATTGTGAATAATAGTCGAATGATACGAAGTAGATAACTCTTACGAATTTAGTGCTTATAATATATTATTACTGCTACTACTAACAATAATAATAATTAGTACTACTACTACTACTACTACTACTAATAATAATAATAATAATTAATAATAATAATAATAATAATGGAATGCTGTAATTGCCGCGTGTTTTGCAGGTGTTCGATAAACACCTGCTAAACTTACTTTTCCTATATAGCATCACAAACTCGTTTTTAGCCGACATCATTTCTGCTTTCTCTTCGTTTTTCCTCCCGTTTACTGCATTCCTCATCTTCTGGCAGCGCCGAGCCGAGGTTATTATGCTCCGCGTCTATGGGGAAATACTACTCACTATGCACAGCTGCACACTCTCACAATGCGTTCTCTGCACTGATCAACATGGGCACCAGAGTTTCCCTTTTGCAAAGTGGGCAAATGGAATTACCTGGTTATCCAATTAGCGGTGAATATCCAGATTGCTCGCTGCAACACGGGAAACCTCGCCGAGCCTGGCATCGCGAGTGATTGCAATGTTGCAAGGCTTCTAATCACATAGATGGATATGCACACTGGTGTGCATATAAACAAAGCATTAGTGTGTGTGTTCCATCACGCAGGATGAGGGAATATGAAGGAGAAACATATCTAGCTTTTGTTCCTAATGTGTAATTATCATATAAAAATATTTTAGCAGCACACTGCGGATGTATCCAAATTTGTTACATTGAAAAAAGTGTATGTGTATGCGACAATACAGGTAGTCTCAGTAATATACATATGTAGGATGAATGCATGGACGGAGGCATACTCATGTGTGTGCATACGCAGATATACGCAAACCTTCGAATGCACATAGGCACATAGATACGCACACGTGTACACTACCCACGAAAATGCACATATCAACGAATACATTTAATGAAATACATACATACACAAAAAGATACTCATACGCATGCACAGTCATACATGAACATTCACACTGATACACATGCACACACACACACACACACACGAGTAAACCACACAAAATATACGTACAAACACACGCAAACAGGGAAGCGCTAAATGATTAAGGGCAACACAGCACCTAGGGAATGTGAGATTAGTCTGACTCGGGGAAGAGGAGGAGAGCTCCACTTCCATGGATGAAGATCCCATCAACAGTACAAAGATATCCGTAACTTACCTGTGAGCCAGTCGAGGTCAATGGTCTCCTCCCAGCCAGCACTGGCGGACCCCAGACCATCATGGCCCGGTCCAGAGGCCAGAGGACCGAACTCTAACATGGCCTGAGTTGGTGTGTAGCTCCCGGTCCTCCACACCAGATCTGGGTCGTATTATCTCGACTTTGTGGCAAAGACACGTTTTACCTTATTTTCTGAATTTTTTTGAATGTATGTTATGGTATTATTGAGGAAGCTGTAGTAGGCTGCTTATGTGTTTTAAGTGTAGTGTTTGAGTGAGTCCTTGCGAGTAGAGTCAGCGAGTAATGCAGATATGTCTGCCGTAAGTTGCACACTTGCACCATAATCAAACACTTGTTACACACACACAAAAACACACACTTGTGAAAACACCTGTCTGTCGCCCTACACAGCTGTAACACAAGGTACGGCTCACCACTGATGGAAATATCTCCGCCAGGGTTGCAGAAGCAATTTAAACATCTGCAAATTGCTACCTTAGTCGAGAATTAACGTTTTCTAAAATCCGCACAAAATATCGTTGTGGTGTAGGGGGTGTTGCATGTTGATGACAGGTGGATGGGTGAGTTATTATAGCGGTGGACGCGACTAAACACAAGTCAGAGGCGTTATCACACTTGATATCTCATTAACGCCAACTTTCATTGTTTGGAACAAGGTGAGGTGTGGCAGGAGCAATGGCAAGCACTCACACCTACGTCCAACTGCTAGCGTCACCAGCAGCACACTGAGCCCAGCAGCAGCAGCAGCAGCAGCAGCAGCAGCAGCAGCACGGAGGAGACACACCCACCAGGGTGGCAGGGAGTCACTCAGGGAGGGAGTGAACAAGGGAGAGATGGAGTGAAAGAGGGAGGGAATGAACGGGGGTTCCATCTCTCCCTTTTGCTGTTGCTATCCCTCTTGACAACCTTCTCTCAATTTCTCTGTGGTATGCATATATATATATATATATATATATATATATATATATATATATATATATATATATATATATATATATATATATATATATATATATATATATATATATATATATATATTACTTAGTACATATACTATTCTAATATTCAATATTTCAATATTACTCAAAGCATATTTATTTAATATATATATATATATATATATATATATATATATATATATATATATATATATATATATATATATATATATATTATATATATTATATATATATATATATACATATATATATATATATATATATATATATATATATATATATATATATATATATATATAATATATATATATATTGCTCTGTGTCAGAAAATATGCCAAACTTCGATCTGGCAAATTTGCAAGCGCTCACTATTTGATTTGGAAAGTAAAATTATTGTTATAAATAAATATATCAATAATATCTAAATCTAAAATAAAATATATATATTATGTGTTTATTTAGTATTAAATTATTTAAACAAATCTAAATATATATATATATTTGTTATAAAATAAATTGTTCTTGTTATAATAAGTTGTAAGTTTTCATAAGTTTTTGTGCAAAAATTAAAATTATTTTGTACATGTAATATTAATGAAAAAAATATATATCTTTAAGTATAAAGAAAATTTTAGCAAAAGACTTAATTTTAAATGAGTTCTTGCTAATTGACCAGTTTTACATATTCGGCACGACATATTATATATATATATATATATATATATATATATATATATATATATATATATATATATATATATATGTATATATATATGTATATATGTATATATATATTATATATATATATATATATATATATATATATATATATATATATATATATATTATATATATATATATATATATATATATATATATATATATATATATATATCCTTGTAATAGTATTTCAATAAATTGTTGCAATAACATTAAAATTTCATTTGTGTCAGCGCTGTAAATATGTATAACTTCTCCTGAAAATAAGGATATGGCACATAGGGGACCCTACTCGTTAATTTGTATGTAAATTGACTCTATATAACCCTACATGGCTTATATGTCATTGTAAGATAACGCTGAACTTTTTGGAGGCAACTTATGTAGGTATTGCTTTCTAGCTTGTGTGTGTGCGTGTGTTCTCACCTAATTGTGGTTGTAGGGGTCGATTCATAGCTCCTGGCCCCGCCTCTTCACCGGTCACCACTAGTAGGTCCACCCTCTCCGTGCTCCATGAGCTTTATCATACCTCTTCTTAAAGCTATGTACCTGCCTCCACTACCTCACTCTCCAGACTATTTCACTCCCTGACAACTCTATGGCTGAAGAAATACTTCTTAACATCTCTGTGACTCTTCTGAGTCTTCAACTTCCAATTGTGACCCCTTGTTTCTGTGTCTCTTCTCTGGAACATTCTGTTTCTGTCTGCTTTGTCGATTCCTTTCAGTATTTTATATGTTGTTATCACGTCACCCCGTTCCTCCTGTCCTCCAGTGTCGTCAGGTCGAGTTCCCTTAACCTCTCCTCGTAGGACATGCCCTTTAGCCAGGTGCTTGGCCAGGTGTGGGTTCCAGACTGGGGGCTGCATACTCCAGTATAGGCCTGACGTACACGGTGTACAGGGTCAGGAACAACTCCTTACTAACATGCCGGAATGCTATTCTTAGGCTCGCTAGTCGCCCATATGCTGCATTTGATTGATGACTTTGCACTTGGTGGGGTTGAACTCCAGGAGCCAGTTACTGGACCAGACCTGCAGCCTGTCCAGATTCCTCTGTAGTTCTGCCTTATCCTCCTCCGACTGAAATCTTTTCATTAACTTTAAATCACCTGCAAACAGGGACACTTCTGAGTCTATTCCTTCCGTCATGTCGTTCACATATACCAAACCCCACCGCACTGGTCCTAGGACTGACCCCTGTGGAACCCCGTGTGTGTGTGTGTGTGTGTGTGTGTGTGAGTGCTGCTCACCTAGTTGTGGTTGCAGGGGTCGATTCACAGCTCCTGGTCCCACCTCTTCACTGTCGCTACTTAGGTCACTCTGCTCCATGAGTTTTATCATATCTCTTCTTAAAGCTGTATATGGATCCTGCCTCCACTGTGTGTGTGTGTATACTCACCTATATGTTGTTGCAGGGGTCGAATCACAGCGGTGGTGTGTGTGTGTGTGTGCGCGTGTGTACTCACTGAGCTGTATTTTCGGGGGTTGAGGCATTGTTCCTGAACTTGCTTCTTGGTTTGAGAGTGGCGAAATCTACTGCAGTCGAGCTTATCGGGTTCTATCGTAACTGTTCTTCAAGCTGTGAGTGGATGAAGCCTCCATCATTTCCTCGTCTGAAACATTCCACTTCTGAACCACCCTCAGAGTAAATTAGTACTACTTCCTCCCGTCCCACTGGCTCCTTATAATAATATCTTTATTTACTACAAGTACATGAACAAGGTATACAGTCCTAGCTGACATCAATGACATACTACTATATATAAAGCCGCTTGTTATGCTGAGCATTTCCGGCAAATTAGGTCAGTTTTGTCCCAGGATGCGACCTACACCAATCGACTAACACCCAGGTACTCACATTTTACTGATGGGAAACATTGACAACCGGTGTAAAGAAACTCCCAAATGTTTCTACCTTCGCCGGGAATCGAACCCAGACCCTTGCCGTGTGAAGCGAGAGCTTTAACCACCAGGCCACAGTGGCTCCCTTTTTAACTCGTTCGTCCATTCAGTTCTGAGTCTTTCTGAGTATATCATTCATCGGAGCTTCGGGACATGTCTTATTGCAAATCTTCAAACTTTCTCTAGATTTAACACGAGCTTTATCAGGTGAAGGCTTCATACTGTGGCTGCGTACTCCATGTTGGGCCTTAAATAAATGATATGCAGTGTTCTAAATGATATTTTTTGTTCACGTTCTTGAATTCTGTTCCTAGATTTGCCATTCTGGCTTATGTGAGTACTCTAGGCACGAATTAGTTCATTTATCGAGTGAATTATTGTAATCCTTCATGGTAAAATTATTAAGGTATTCTACATGATTAATTTATCTAACTCAGAAATGAAACATTCTGAAGATTTAAGGTTTACAATCAAGAATCATGTTTACCTTCATAATACAAAAAAGAATAAACCTTGATATGAACGCAATTTGTCAGAGTGCTTTTGGATGATGAGAGGGAGGTAGGGAGCAAAGGGGAGGGGGGATGGAAGNGAGTGTGATTTATTATTTATATCAAGGGGAGAGCGCTAAACCCGAGGATTATACAGCGCTGGGGGTGGGGGGATGTAGGATAGGCATTCAGGCTTAATTCGGGGAACTGGAGCACAGATCTAATTATTCCAAAAGAAAGAGCCCTCTCACACAACATCAAGGAACCTTCTTGAGGGGCCAGGAAGGAGTGATAGAAGGAGGGTGATAGCGGGAGGATGATGGTGGGAGGGTGATGGCGGGAGGTTGATGGAGGAAGGATGATGGTGGGAGCATGTGGGAGGGAGGTTGTGGTTGGAAGGATAGGTTTGAAACTAAGGGTTTCTGAGGGAGGGAGAATGTTGGAGAGACCTGGAGGGAGTATACGAGGTGTGGTACTGAGGGTGCTGGAGTGAGGGAGTGGAGGGCTGGAGTGAGAGGAAGAGCACTGGACGGATTGTGTGGGAGGGAGGATATGGTAGTGAATAAGTATGAGGGAGAAATGATGTGGCAGTGATAGGGAGGGTGTAGGGGAGGAAGGGAGAGAGGGAGAGAGGGAGGGAGAGAGAGGGAGGGAGGGAGGGAGGGAGGTAGGAAACATTCATGGCCACACATAACAACTATTACCATGGGCATAAAAAAGGAGATATAATCTGAGTCAGCCTCACACACCATTCTCTCTTAACATGATCATTGTTCCTCTGTATTATTACCTGCTTGATGTTAGCATTCACCTGGTGTGTGCTAATGATCTCTCTCTCTCTCTCACACACACACATACACACACACACACACACACTCACTCTCACTCTCTTACAGAGGAAAACTTCATTAACCCACAAAAAAACGGAGCAAACTATCAAGTATCAACAACCAAAATATTTACACAGCGTTGTAACGACAGTCTGAACAAATTCTTGACTTTGTCGTCCCCACAACCATGTCAGAACTCATTATCTTCACCGCAGCATTCTAGCACTTAAAATGAATATCACTTTCGAAACTCATAACTGGTACTATATTAATTTCAAACTACGCAGCAGCTGACTTTGAAACGATATATAAAAAATAACTGTACGAGAGTTAATTGGATTATGTTTTTGGTTGTAATAGATTTTGAAGGGATTGTAACCTTGAGTGATAATATTCCAAGAAGAGAGAAGGAAAGAGGCAAGGAAGCATTTATCACATTAGAGTTAATATTTATTATGTAGCGAAGACGTAACACCAATAAGAAATTCCGAGTGGAAATTGAGATTAGATCCTGAGATAGTTCCTGACTATGGAACTGAGCTTCTCCAGGCTGAGGGACTGACAACCTCAAATTCTACGACTTCAAGGGTGATGGACTGATTACATCGTCTTCACATCTCTACTGTTCCTGCCTACTTTCTGTATTCGACTGAAGAAGCCTACTGTGTAGGCGAAACGTTTCGGAATAAAGTTGCCTAACTGTTGCCTATGTGTCTTACCTACCAAAAATGCTATAAATACGTCTTTGTAGGAACTGTAAAAAACACACTAAATAAGAATGAAATTAAGAGCCTGGACGCGTTGATATACTTGAAGACGCTTAACTAGAGCCAG